AAGGCTATAAATACCTTCTCAGTGTAAGCCTAGAAACACATCTCTCTCATATGAGAATAAAATCTTCTTTTTCTCCCTAGCTTTATCTCTATATTTCGCATACTTCCTTTATTTCCCTTTAAAAATTTGTTTTCAAATATGCTAAGTATGACTTTGGTCATACTTAGCTAATTTTCTTTTAAGTCGAAGGCTAAAGCGAAGGCTCAATTCCAAACATGAGAATTGTAAGGCACTTAAATTGCTTCGGATTTTTCTCTTTGTGTTATGGGCATATTTTTCGAATCAGAACTATTTTCAACATTGATCTAGATATTGTTATGGTTAACGTTGGAAGAAGGATTGGCTTATTGAAGCACATTCAACTTCTTGAGAACACACTTAGGAAAATTGTTTGCTAAGAGGAAACGGAAATCAGAATCAGTTATTGTTGAAACAACATAATCCGAGTCGGCATCGAGGAATTGTTCTTGTAGTAACCGACATGAATCCTGAAGTAAAAATCAGTTTCGATGATCCGAGGAATTTGAGGCAAAGCTGAAGTCTGAGGTTGCTATACCTGAAATTTTATTAATATTTATTATTTTTCATTTTTTTATATTATTTATTTTATTTTAATATATCTTTTCAACTTTACCTGAAATTCTATCTTTTCCTAAATCAAGAAAAAGTTTTATTAAATCAGAAACGCCATAGTCCCTATGGATCAACCCTACTTCTCTATATTACATTTTTTATTAAGAAGTCAAGAATTATTTTGATAACAAAACGAAGATTATCAATGTCACAAAGAAAAAGGACGAATCGATGAAACAAACCTCAAAATGTAGGTGGTTAACCTCAAAACCAACCTGTCAATCTTGATATTTGTCAAAGATTTGTAGCTATGAAAGATTAAAATATCATTTGATTCTTTTGATATACGATGAACTCATGTCTTATGAGTTGTTTCAATTGTGAAACTTAGAATGACGCAATTTTTTTAAAATTCTTTCTGATGTTTTTCAAAATTTTGAATATAAAAAGAAGAAGAAAAAGATTTTCAAACAAGATAATCTCTCTAGAAGCACATCTCTCAGAAGTTCATGATCAAAGCTGGGGCAAATGAAGCCAATTTTTTGGGGCAAAATTTGATGGGGCAAGGAAACAAATTGTCTCAGGTCGAGGTTTGCAAGAGTACACCTTGGGGGAAAATTAAGACAAGTGAATCAGGGATAGAATTAAGATCGCCCATGCAATCATTCCCGCCATTAACCAAGAAAACATACATCAACATATACATACATGTTACATGAGTTTACATCTTTGCATCATACATTCATCATCATGTGCAATAAAAAAACTTTGATTTTCCCTCTCATGAGGATACTTTTAAAAATTTCACTTGAAATCTTGTCTTTAGTAAAAACATTTTCCCCTTTCTTGAGGACAAAATCATCAAATCAAATACATGAAACAAATTTCATCTTAACATCCAGGAAAATGATCAAGATAAGCATTCATAAATGCATCATTTTTATATTGATCTTTTAGGAAATAAAAGTTTGGTAATGACCAGATGTCCTAAACACAAAAGAACAATGTCATGCACAGACTTTACATCCTGAGGTCAATGATCAGATCTCCTAGAGGCATTTCCTCAACATGCAAAAACAAATAGACATTCTATAAGCCTTTGAGATTGCTTTTCTAAAAAACAAATTTCGTCTCACTTGAGATAGTTTTTTGCAAATTTTGAAACTAATTGATCTCACTTGAGATTGTTTATTTCAAAGAAAACTTCGTCTTTCTTGAGAAAATTTTACAAATCTTTGAGATTTTTCTTCTCAAAATAAATTTTTTCTCGCTTGAGAAAAGTTTCTCTAAAAACAAATTTGTCTCGCTTGAGACAATTTCTCTCAAAAAAATTTCATCTCGCTTGAGACATTTTTCCTTGGAGATGAAAATTTTGAATTTAAACAAAGTTGATCTCGCTTGAGATTATTTTTCTCAAGACAAACTTTGTCTCACATGAGACAGTCTTCCTTAAGACACGAACATTTGATATTGTTTTTACCCGAAGCAAATTTCGTCTCACTTGAGACAGTTTCCTTCGGAATACAAATTTCAAAGTATGTGTTACTTAAAACAAAGTTAATCTCACTTGAGATTGTTTCTTTCAAAACATATTCGTCTCGCTTGAGACAGTTTTCCCTCAAAACTCAAAATTTGGAAATTGTTTCACTTGAAACAAAATATAAACTTTGAGATTGTTTCTCTTGGAACAAATTTTGGCTCTCTTGAGGCAGTTTCTCTTGAAACAAGGTTTTGTCTCCCTTGAGACAGTTTCTCTTGAAACATAAAACCTTTGAGAATGTTTCCCTTGAAACAGGTTTTGTCTCCCTTGAGACAGTTTCTCATGAAACAAAAATCTTTGAGTATGTTTCCCTTGAAACAAAGTTTTGTCTCTCTTGAGACTGTTTCTTTTGAAACAAAAGTCTTTGAGTCTATTTCCCTTGAAACAAATTTTGTCTCACTTGAGACCATTTCTCTTGAAATAAATTATCCCTAAAGATGGCCAGTCGTCCTCATCATGTAGGAACCATGTCATCCACCGATCAGATCTCATCGTCACGTAGGAGCCGTGTCAACCTTAGATAACCAGCCATTCTAATAGCGTAGGAACCTTGTTATCACCATTTATCCCTAAAGATGGTTAACCATCCTCATCACGTAGGAACTGTGTCATCCATTAACCAGATCTCCTCATCACGTAGGAGCCGCATCAACCTTAGATGACCAGCCATCCTCATCACGTAGGAACCATGTTATCATCATCCTTAAAGATGGTCAGCCATCTTCATCACGTAGGAACCGTGTTATCCACCGACTAGATCTCCTCGTCACGTAGGAGCTGTGTCAACCTTAGATAAACAGTCATCCTTATCACGTAGGAACCGTGTTATCATTATCCCTAAAGATGGTGAGTCATCCTCATCACCTAGGAATCGTTTCATCCACCGACCAGATCTCCTCATCAGGTAGGAGTCGTATCACTCGTAGATAACCATACTTCCTCATTACGTAGGAACCATGTTATCTCCGAATTTACCTAAAAACGACCAGAATTCTTCATCGCGAATGAGCAGCGTCGTCCTTAACTATCAAACTTCAAAACCAAAAAGAGAACGAGACAAAAACTCGTTGTCTTATCGTTTTTGCCCTATTCTTGTTAACACAAGAATGTGCAAAGAGGGGCAGCTGTAGACACCCATTTTTGTCCAGGTCTTATTAATAATAATAATAATAATAATAATAATAATAATATTATTATTATTATTATTATTATTATTATTTTAATTTACATATTTTTACATATTTGTGTATACCAAAATGAAGCCCAAGCCCACAAGAACCAACCCGACCCAACAACAGATATCTAACCTAATTACAAGACCCAAGCACCAGGCCCAGGTGACCCAAACCCGGTCGGATCCGACTCGAACAAGCCTAATCAACAACCATAAATATTAGGGTTTTTTCTCTCCATCAACAACAGCCGCCGCCAACAATTATTCGATTCCCCACCGGCGCGTGGGCTTCACCGCCCTACCCCTAGTCGCATGAGCCGCCGCCGAGTGCTTCCCGAGCCACCATCATCATCGAGCCGTACCCAAAACAATGCAAAATATCAACCATATCAATCAGTCTATTTATCAAATCCAAACCCATTTTTTAAATGTAATAAATCTCGAAAAATCGGGATTTTTTACCAACTCGTACCAGGGAAATCATACCCTATTCTAGATGTAATAATCTCTTCTAAGCATTCAAGGGAGATAAGAGAGCAGCAGTGGATGACATAAAAGGAATTCGGAGAAAAACAAGAAAAAAATCTGAGAGAGAGAACTAGATCTAAAAACACAAAAAAACAGTAAAAAAAGAAGAGAAAATAGACTAAAAAAAACAGCTGACCCAAATATACTCTATGAATTTGAAACAAATAAAAATGGTTAGAATCGTTTATCCTTTGTGCACTTATTTGGGTATCTACTAACAGAGTTTTGGTATGGATCTAAATAGAGTGGCCTCTTATGACTTATTACATAGGATTTTGGTTCTAAAAAAAAGGTGTAATATCCGATTTTCGTCTTACTGACCCAAATATTTTTTTTTTTTGAAGCCGCTTTTAGAGTATGAGACATCAATTGACTTGCATAAAATTTTTAAGCGGGTCTGAACATTTCAAGACTGATTTTTAGTTTGCTTTTCAACGTAATTTTAAACTTAAAAATGTGTTTTTTTTGTAAAGACAACGCGTGTAAAAAATTGAATACGAATTCAATATCAGAATTTTAATTTATTTTAAATTTTTAATTATTTTATTGATTATTTTTAATTAAATTTAATTTTAGAATATTTATTATTATGAAGTTAACTCTCTCCAGTCAAATGCAACGAATTATTGACTTTTCTTCTAAAACTTTAGATAGCTAAATAACATTGTATTTTTTCAATTGAAAAATGATCATGAATTAAATTAAATTCAAAATTTTAATTTACCATTGCAAAGACAATCATTAATCGACTATGTAATAATTTTAGGACGTTATGAGAGTGTTAATCATTCCTTATAAGTAATCGACTCCCTAACTCGTTTTTCTAGAAAACGAGTCTAAAAGTTATTTTAATAATTCTTTGATTTTATTAAAATAACAAAATATTTTGGGTGGTCTAACCACACCTTAAACAAAGATTGGTAGCGATTCTCTTAAATCATATTTTTTTATTTTTAAAGGAAAATCCAATTTAATCAAAATAAACCCTAAAATTATTTTTTAAAAATTTTTAGCCACGTTATGACAGAAGATACTTTGAATTGTTGTCACTGTCACCTATTAAGACTAATAAGACACTCAATTATCATCCATCACAGATTTATATATAACAAGTTCGGGAGGATAAATTTAAAATTAACTTTTAAGTATAATATAAATACCTGTAATGTACATTAACCCAAGATTTATATACAGCGCATATAGTATTACATGAATGCAAATAGTATCTACGTTTATCGAAATGGATGGGTACTAAATCCTTCTGGTTTCAAGTTCCTACATGAGACAGCAGATGGCATTGACATTGTCATCGTTGAACATGTTGCTGACGTTGTCATCGCCTCGGTGTGTTACTGGAATATTCCCGTGCCAGTGACCGAGATTGTACCCGTGTTTATAGTAATTGTAACTCTCTTTGAACTCATTTCTTGTGTCCCTGAAGTAGTCGCCCGTGGAGGTGAAGTACAACGGCACGTCGGGATAGGGCCAGAACTCGGCCCTTTTTCCCGACCTCCTCACCCGTTTCAACACCTTGTAACGATCAACGTGCCCGATTACGGTTACTTTTTCCATCTTTAGGTCAACTTCCACCGAATTTACACCTAATATATTAACGGAAAAAATTTAAAATTTTATAACAATAGTCGAGATAAAAAAATGATAGATACAAATAAATACCTCGAAGCCTATAAAGGGCTCTTTTGACTACTCTCTCGCAGCCAATGCAGCACATCCTGACTTTGAGATCCACAGTCTGAAAGAGAGACGAAATAGTGAATTTAAATTGATGGATGCCTAGCTTACTTGTTATTCTTTTGTTCCTTCTAGGACCAATTTATGCTTCATCTAATTATAGGAAACCCAAGGGACTAAGAAATACCATGTTGGGTATGCTATTAAATTTTAGGATGCACTATGCATTTAATACCTAAACTATCAGTTTTTGTCGATTTTAATATATAAACTTTTAATTTTTTCAAAATCATACCTAACATTTAGTTTTCATTTCATTTCAGTACATGTCGTTAAAAACTTAACACATTTAGTACCTAAACTATCAGTTTTGATCTATTTTAGTATCTAAACTTTCAAATTTTCAAAACTTTTGAACAGTGTACTAAAATGAAAGGGACATATTTTCTAATCTATTATGTCCGTTATAGCTCACTGTTTCTTCGGGCACCGAGATAACAAAAATGAAAGGTGAAAGCAAACAACAAAAAAACCTAAGATAGATTAGAAAAGATAACAATATACATATTTGTTTGTATATAGGATGAAAGGGAACCTGTAAAGAAAGTGGTTGGCCCTTATTAGGCTTCTTGTGGTGATGGATGTTGCTTGTGCCCTTTTTGTTGTCTCGGTGCCCGAAGAAACAGTGAGCTATAACGGACATAATAGACCCAAATGCTCTTGCTATTAGGGTACCCATTGCAAATTTGAAAGTACCAAATCAGGAGAAAGAAAGAAAGAAATGCCCTTATGGAATTGCAATGGCATCGAAGTTATAAGGTCTCTTGCTGATATGGAAGTAATCTGATACTCTCGGTGTTTATATCTCCATATTGGACCCCTCCCTTAGGGCATCTTACTTCACACATATTTCACACGTAAAATTTCGATACTATTATAATGTTGAAAACCCATATTGGAAAGGAATGGTATCAAAGTATCTTGTCATTCGATTTGATTGGCACGGATTTTTAAGATTCTATTGTATTTATCGTGATTGCAGAAATAATAAACAATGATATTATTCAGAAGGGGAATACGAGATGATTCGGGAACACATATATTCCTGAAACCTTGTCTACTTAGCATTTTTTTTTTTTGAAAAATAAGAAGACAACATGCATGCAACAATATTCAATGTTGAAAAAACCTAACAAATTTTGATTCCCAATCACTTGATTTTTGGTCTTCCTGTTTTGAGGGAAGCCTCACAAGCTATAGGTATTTTAAGCCCTACACAACCTATTGGTAAATATTTAGAAAAGTATCGGCTTGTGGATTTTTAATAATATCAGACAAAGTGAACAAATGCACTGACAATTATTTATATTCTTCCTAAAATTACAAACACCGGACATATACCCTAATTAATATCCATATCCAAAATTACATGAGAATCGAACTTAATCAAGTAACTTAAAAGTAGTGTCAAATCAAACTCAAACTTTAAGATGAATACACTAAAGTCCAAATTAAATTTGAGTCTCGAATTCCGATTAAAATTTAAACTCAAACTTTTTATAGCTTGAACTCAACCTATCTTATTCATACTCTACAATCATGATGATACACACATATATATTGTGGGATGTTTTGATTCTTTAAGAGAAGTCTTGAATATGTTGTAAATGAGATGAGATAGATTATGAGTTACTTGAGTTTGATTCGATCGACATTCAAATTGAATAGATTTAATTAGAGCTTGAAGTTGACTCGAGTTTTTAATGAGTCGATACTTGAGTTTTAACGAGTCGAGATAAACTACTTGATACCCGACTCAAAAAAATCGCTAGCAACTTGTTACAGCTTGAACTCAACCTATCTTGTTCACCCATGGTGGGGTTTGAATTAATCCTTGTTCTAGGGCATATAAGATATTTCTTGGGTAACATTTCTTGGCTCTAAGAGGTGATCTCAACGCCCCTAGTTAAATACATGAGATAAAATATTGAGACTAAAACAATAAGTATTCTAAGAGTTGCTTTCGAGCTTTTCAAGGTGGGTATCAAGTAGTTCACATCGGCTCGTTAAAAACTTAAGTCAACTTTAAGCTCTAATTAAGTCTATTCAATTCGAGTGTTGATCTAATCAAACTCGAATAATTCTTAATCCATCTCGTCTCGTTTACGGCCTATTCAATACTTCACTTAAAAGAATCAAAACATCCCACGATATATATAATATTATGAGTGGTGCTTGTCCTAGTCATAGTCTATTAGGAGTAATGTATTTTATGTTGATGTTCTCTGAATTATTGACGCAAAAGAATTTTATCCATGAGGTTTTTATGCCAATATTGCAGTTTATTCGGCGACAACTTTTCGTCACTAATAGTTTCAACAAGGTTCGATGCCTTTTAAAATGCTAGTTTAAATTAGTGACAATTTGTTCGTTAGCATTGGAAGCATAAATTTGTTAATTAGAAAGTGACAAAACAACTTTTATTCTCTTCACAATAAAGAAAAGGATACAACACTAAGAATGTCCTTTTAGTTTTATTATAACTTAATTAATTTGTGATAGGTATGACTCATAATTTGTGATAGATATGGCTCATAAATGTACCGGGGTTTTCTATTATAAATAGAGATGTAACCTAAACCTATGAGATATTGAATAAAATTTCTAGCGCCGCCTAGGCACCGAGGATGTAAGCACATTGCCGAACCTCGTTAAAATTCTTGTGTTCTTTCGTTTACTTTGCCCGATTCTTCAATAATTGGTATCAGATGTCAGGAGCAAAATTCGAAGTTGCGAAATTCGATGGTCAGGATAACTTCGGATTATGGCAAACGAGAGTGAAGGATCTGTTGGCGCAGCAAGGGATCCTGAAGGCTTTGTGACCTACAAAGCCGGCGTCGATGGAGGAGGACGATTGGGAAGAATTGCAACAGTGAGCAGTAGGAACCATACGATTATGCTTGGTAGACGAGGTTATGTATCACGTCATGCATCTGTCGTCTCCAGACAAAATTTGGAAGAAGTTGGAAAGTGAGTTTATGTCCAAATTCTTAACGACAAAATTGTATCTAAAGCAGCGGCTGTATGGGCTGAAGATGCAGGACGATCATGATTTGGCACAACACATGAATTTATTCAATCAAATCATTTCTGAGTTGGCTCGGCTTGATGTGAAAATTGAGGATGAAGACAGAGCGATGATTATGTTGTGTTCGTTGCCTCCCTCTTACGAACACATGGTGACTACTCTTACATATGGGAAAGAGACTATCAACGTTGAGGAGATTACTGCAGCCTTGTTGGCTCACAACCAGCGGAAGCAGAATGCAGAGGAAAGCTCTCAAGCCGATAGCTTATATGTCAAGGGTAATCGAGACCGTGGATGGAAGCCAAAGAAGGCAGGGTCTGGCAAGCGGAATTCCAGATCCAAATCTAGGGATAAGAAGACAATTCACTGTTACAAGTGCAAGGAGGCGGGACATATGAAGTGAGACTGTCCGAAGTTGAAAAAGAAGACTGATGAGAAGCGTGATGATTTATCCAAGTCTGTGAATGTGGTCGAGGATGACTATTCTAATTGCAGTGAGGGTGATATGCTCTTTATTTCAACGACTCAATTGACGTATGTTTGGATTCTTGATTCTGGATGTTCTTATCACATCACGCCAAATAGGGAATGGTTTTCAACATACAGGTCGGTTAATTCTGGTTCTGTTTATTTGGGTGATGATCAATTTTGCAATATTGTTGGTATTGGTGAGGTCAGAATTAAGGTGTATGATGGCTCTGTTCGGACGTTGAGTGGTGTTCGGCATATCCCATATTTGAAGAAGAATTTGATTTCTTTGGGCACTTTGCACAAGAATGGTTTTATCCCTAAGGCTGATGAGGATAGGGAAACCATTATGAAAGGAAAGATGACTGCAGGGAATATTTACAGATTGTTAGGGAGTACCGTTGTAGGTGGAATTCATTCTGTTGAGTCTTGTGATGATACTACCAAACTGTGGCATATGCGTCTTGCTCATCTTAGTGAATGTGGTATGGTTGAATTACATAAAAGAAATTTGTTGCATGGTGATAAAAGCTGTAAGCTCGATTTTTTCAAGTATTGTGTTCTTGGTAAACAGACTAAAGTTCGTTTCAAGACTGCGAAGCACACAACTGAAGGGATTCTTGATTATGTGCATTCTGATGTATGAGGGCCTTCCACGACATTGTCTTTGGGTGGATCTAGGTATTATGTTACTTTTATTGACGATTTTTCACGAAAAGTTTGTGTGTATATTTTGAAACAGAAGTCAGACGTTTTTTAGAAGTTCAAGCTGTGGAAAGCTGAAGTAGAAAACCAAACAGGATAAAAAAATCAAGTGTTTGCGGTCTGACAATGGTACGGAGTACACAGATTCACAGTTCTTACACTTCTGTAAGGAGCACGGGATTAAGAGATATTTTACAGTGCGCAAGACACCACAACAGAATGGTGTTGCGGAACGGATGAACAGGTCGTTGAATGAAAGAGCCAGATATTTGTGATTGAATGTGGGGCTTCCCAAACACTTATGGGACGAGGTTGTTAACATGGTGTGTTATCTTATCAACAGATCGCCAAGGGCATCATTGGCTGGGAAAGTTACAGAAGAGGTATGGACTGGTCATGATGTTAGTTTTGATAACTTACAGATTTTTGGTTGTCCTGCTTATGTGCATGTACCTGCTGATGAGAGATCCAAACTTGATGCAAAATCGAAGGAGTGCATTTTTCTGGGTTACAAGAAAGGTGTCAAAGGATTCAAGTTCTAGGATCCAGTTGCGAAGAAAATTGTGATCAGTAGAGATGTTGTTTTTTATGAACAATCCATGTTGCAGCAGAAAAAAGACACGACAGTGGTGGATTTCGAGCAGTTTCCAGTTGAGAAACCAGAAACTTCTCAACCAACTTCTGGTGGTTTTGCTACGGATGATTTGCAGGATTATAGTCTCGCCAGAGACAGGGTGAGACGGGCGAAAATAAAGCCCCCGAGCAGATTGGGTTTTGAAGACTTGGTCTCTTTTGCACTTACTGTTAGCAGTGATGATTCGGTTACTTTTCATGATGTCGTTACTAGTCAAGAAAACGACAAGTGGATGGTTACCATGGTTGAGGAGATGGAGTCTTTGAATCACAATCGTACATGGGAGTTAGTTCCCCTTCCTGAGGGTAAGAAGTCGATTGGTTGCAAATGGGTGTATAAGAAGAAACCAGCAGTAACAGAAAAAGAGGGGGAGAAGTTCAAGGCTCGCTTGGTAGCAAAGGGTTTTTAACAGAAGAAAGGAGTTGATTATGATGAAATCTTTTCTCCTGTGGTCAGGCACACTTCAATCCGAGCAGTACTTGCAATGGTGGCTAGTTGGGATTTGCATTTAGAGCAGATGGATATTAAAACTATTTTTTTCATGGTGATTTAGAGGAGCAGATCTACATGCGACAGCCTGAAGGTTTCACTCAACTTGGAAACGAGCATTTAGTTTGCAGATTGAAGAAATCTTTGTATGGGTTGAAATAGTCTATGAGACAGTGGTATAAACGGTTTGACTCATATACGATCAAGATTGGAAACAACCGATGTGAGTATGATTGTTGTGTCTATGTTAAGAGCCTTGATGATGGTTCTTTTATTTTTCTGTTATTGTATGTTGATTGCTGTGAAGAACATGGATGATGTTATTGGTTTGAAAACCTTATTGAGTCGGGAATTTGATATGAAAGATTTAGGTGCTGCAGAAAATTCTTGGAATAGAAATTTGCAGGGACAGAGACTCAAGGAAACTGTGGCTATCTCAA